CACCAGGTTGCCTAAGGAGGGGTGAACCGGCCCAGGTCAGAAACGGAGCAGGTCAAAACTCCCATGCTGGTCAGTAGTGGGATCGCACCTGTGAATAGCCACTGTACTCCAGCCTGAGCAACATAGCAAGACAACCCTGTCTCAAAAAAAAAAAAAAAAAGAAAGAAAGAAAGAATAAAGAAATGGGGTCTCCCTATGTTACCCAGTCTGAACTTGAACTCCTGGGCCTAAGCCATGCTCCCACCTTAACCTTCAAATGATACACATACCCATGGCTCCTTCTGCAAATTTTTCTGTAAATTTGTCTTTCTTTTTTTTAATTTGTAGAAGCTTTGTAATATTCTGAATACATGTCCTTTGTATGATATTTTTATTACAAATATCTTTTCCCAAGACTATCTGTATCTTGAATGGGGGAAAGTTGAACATCTTTCCTCTAAGAACTGGAACAAGACAAGGATGACCACTTTCACATTTTTCCCCCATGTTTATTACAGTATGATTGATAAGAACCAAGATATGGAAACAGGCCAGACACAGTGTCTCATGTCTGTAATCCCAACACTTTGGGAGGCCTAGACAGAAATTCGAGACCAGCCTGGGCAAGATGGTGAGTGAGACCCTGTCCCTACAAAAAGTAAAATAAAAAATTAGCCAGGTGTAGTGGTGCATGCCTGTAGTCCCAGCTACTTGGAAGACTGAGGTGGAAGGACTGCTTGAGCCTGGGAAGTCAAGGCTACAGTGAGCTGTGATTACAGCACTGCACTCCAGCCTGAGACTCCATCTCAAAAAAAAAAAAAAAAAAAAAAAAAAAAGAAAAAGAAAAAGGAAAAAAAAGAAAAGTTAGAAGAAAAAATCCAGGAATCAGGTCATTTGAAATGAAAGAGTTTCTATGCTTTTTATTAGAAAACAAAAATTAAGATAGTATCCCTAAAATTTCACTAGAAAGTGCTGCGGAGATACTACTATAAACCGGAAGAAAAAATCTTGAAGGAAAGATGGCGTCTGTCTAATGGGAATATGGTGCTCTCAACTCCCTCCATTTTCCCTGAAAAAGAGGGGCATGTTGGCATCACTCATGTAAGCCGACAGTCAGGTGCTTCAGAAAGGCTGGAAGTTACGGTGTCCTTCTTGGGACTAGAAGGACCTAAACGGAGTGGCAGCTTCAGGACGAACTGGTGGGTAAGAGCCCTGCTGTGTCAGAACACAGGATGAACCCATTTGTCATCTTCACTACTAGAGCTCTCAGTTGGAGCATGGAACTGAGTTTGTTTATTTTATTTTATTTATTTATTTTTGAGATGGAGTTTCGCTCTTGTTACCCAGGCTGGAGTGCAGTGGCGCTATCTTGGCTCACCGCAACCTCCGCCTCCTGGGTTCAAGCAATTCTCCTGCCTCAGCCTCCTGAGTAGCTAGGACTACAGGCACACACCACCATGCCCAGCTAATTTTTGTATTGTTAGAATAGACGGGGTTTCATATGTTGACTGGGATGGTCTCGATCTCTTGACCTCGTGATCCACCTGTCTTGGCCTCCCAAAGTACTGGGATTATAGGCATGAGCCCCCGTGCCCTGCTGGAACTGAGTTTAAAATAATTTAGTTGGCCAGGCATGGTGGCTCACGCCTGGAATTCCAGCACTTTAGGAGGCTAAGGGGGAGGATCACTTGAAGTCAGGAGTTCAAGCCCAGCCTGGCCAATATAGTGAAACCCCCTCTCTACTAAAAATACAAAAATTAGCTGGGCGTGGTTGCAGTCACCTGTAATCCCAGCTACTTGGGAGGCTGAGGCAGGAGGACCCCTTGAACCTGGGAGGCGGAGGTTGCAGTGAGCCAAGATCCCACCACTGCACTCAGGCCTGGGCGACAGAGTGAGACTCTGTCCCAAAATAATAATAATAATAATAATAATAATTTAGTTGCTTGATATCTCATCATGTAGGAAAAAAATTTTTTTTAATTCAAAAACTAACAAAAAAAGAACTTAGTTGCAACATCTACTTTCAGTTTTCTTTCCTGAAATGAATTAGAAAGTCCAATTGTTGAGGAGGAAACTAATGGAAATGGAAACTCTCTGGATGTGTGGTGCGCCACCCTCTTCCCTTAGCGGTGATTTTTAATCATGCTCATCTTGCCGGTTTGTGCTTGGACACGAGGCACACCTTGCTTCCTGTGCCATTCCTAACGGGTACTTTTATTTCTTCTTTGGAATGGAGTTTTGTGGGGACACAATGATTTCCCTACATTACCTCATAGCTCTAAGAACGTGTCCTTGACCTGGAAAATCTTTTTTTAACATGACAATATGACCTAGTGGAGTTTTGCAAACTGCTGCTCACTGCTAAAAAATGTAGTAATTCTGTTGTGTTCTATTTCCCCCCTTAAACGCTTGAAGAGGCTCATGATTTCCTTATTTTTTTCTTGCCATCTAAGTCTACAGAGTTTCCAATGTAAAGCAGGGAGCAAGAGATCACTTTTAGCGATTCTTTTTTTTTGAGATTGGGGGTGGTCTCACCATGTTGGCCAGGTTGGTCTCAAATTCCTCGCCTCAAGTGATCTGCCTGCCTCAGGCTCCCAAAGCGCTGGGATTACAGGCATGAGCCACCACGCCCAGCCTGATTCATGAAGATTCTTAAGGCTAGCTTTCCTCTGCATCTATGATCACAGTAATATATTTCTCAAAGTTTCTGTGTTTAAAAGCGTAGGGCTTGGCGTGGTGACTCATGCATGTAACCCCAACACTTTGGGAGGCCAAGGCGAGCCGATCACCTGAAGTCAAGTGTTCGAGATCAACCTGACCAACATGGAGAAACCCCGTCTCCACTAAAAATACAAAAATTGGCTGGGCATGGTGGGGCATACCTATAATCCCAGCTACTCAGGAGGCTGAGGCAGGAGAATCACTTGAACCTGGAGGCAGGTGTTGCGGTGAGCCGAGGTCACTCCATTGCACTCCAGCCTGGGCAACAAGAATGAGTCTCAAAAAAAAAAAAAAAAAAGCTCTATTTTGTCTCCCAAATGTGTCACTGTATCTTTGAAAATATTCTTGTGTGTGTGTGTGTGTGTGTGTGTGTGTGTGTGTGTGTGTGTGTGTTTACCAATTTATTTTAAGCTTATTACAAAGAATACAGATGAGCAACAGCCAGATGAAGGGGTACCTGGGGCAAGATCCAGAAGGGTCCTGAGCACAGAACTTACTGTCTTTGTAAAGCTGGAGTGCATTACCTTCCTGGCACATCAAAATGTTTGCCAACCCTGAAGCTCCCTGAACTCCATAGTTAAGGGATATGTCTTGTTGATGTAGGCCTGATGGATTATTCATTCAATCTCCAGCCCCTCTCCCCTTTCCAAGGGTGGTAGACTGAAAATTTGAAACTTTCAATCATGATGCAGTCTTTGTGAGCAGCCCGCATCCTGAGTTATCCAGGTGCCCATCAAGAGTTACCTCACTGGAACAAAAAATTCTCCTATCACTGGGAAATTCAAAGGAATTTAGGAGCTTTGTGTCAGGAACTGGGGTCAAAGACCAAATATTAGAATAAAAGATGAACTCCATCACTTTGGAAATTGCAAGGGTTTTAGGAGCACTGAACAAGGAACTGGATAGGAAGATCAAACAGATGTTTATTATTATATCACAATATCACATCAACTCAATGTACATTTATTACAGGTTGAAGTTTACAGACTGGTATACACTAAACACATTTAAGGTAAGCTACTCCCTCAGAACCTATAGGAAAGCACAATAATCAGATGATAAGCTGTCTCTAAATCCAGCTTCCAGGAAGTTTACCTATAGACTGAAATGCCATCGATGGAATTTAGACACTAGTGATTTTTAAGTCCAAAGGACCTGGGTATCCTGACCTCATCTTCTTGATCTTTTTCTTCCAATATTCTAATACCACATCTGTACCCAATCTTTTTTTTTCTTTTTGAGATGTCTCACTGTTGTCTTGGCTGGACTGGGGTACAGTGGCACGATCTTGGCTCACTGCAACCTCCACCTCCTGGGTTCAAGCAATTCTCCTGTCTCAGCCTCCCGAGTACCTGGGTCTACAGTTGCATGCTGATCTGTACCCAATCTTATTGGGGTCTGCAGTATTGTCTATTCAACACAAAAACTAGGCATGAGCATTTTTAGTTCCCTTGTGTGCCCAATACAGAGGCTTATTCAGCAGATAGTTAAATATTTGGTGAAAGGAAGTGAATCTTGAAGACATATAAACTTTGCCCAGAAAAGTTTTATTTTTATAAGAAACAAGAATAGGTCGGGTGAGGTGGCTCACACCTGTAGTCCCCGCACTTTAGGAGGCTGAGGAGGGTGGATTGCTTGAGCTCAGGAGTTTGAGACCAGCCTGGGCAACATGATGAAACCGCATCTCTACCAAAAGCACAAAAATTAGTCAGGCATGGTGGCGCACACTTGTAGTCCCAGCTATTCAGGGGGCTGAGGTGGGAGGATTACTTGAGCCTGGGAGGTTGAGAATGCAGTGAGTCATGTTTGCACCACTGCACTCTAGCCTGCATGACAAAGCAAGACTCTGTTTCAAAAATCAAACAAACAGGCCGGGCGCGGTGGCTCACGCCTGTAATCCCAGCACTTTGGGAGGCCGAGGCGGGTGGATCACGAGGTCAAGAGATCGAGACCATCCAGGTCAACATGGTGAAACCCCGTCTCTACTAAAAATACAAAAAATTAGCTGGGCATGGTGGTGCGTGCCTGTAATCCCAGCTACTCAGGAGGCTGAGGCAGGAGAATTGCCTGAACCCA